GGGGGGGGGGTGCAAAGGGTCGAAGGTTTACACCAGAGGGCGGTTGGATTTCCACGTGGCTATATTCTATCACTGGTGGGTCTAACGATGGTCATGACATCCAGTGGTTGCATTTACACCGAGAGGCCTCCGGCACGTAAGCTAACCTGTGAAAATAGCCCCATCCCCTCCACCCCCTAGTGGTAAATGAAGAATGCGGGGGGATGAAAGACTAGCTGCATGCGTTGAGTTGTCGACAGGCTGGACTTGGCTTTCAGAGGGCCCTTTAACGACGATAAGTAGGTTTTGGAAGCGCTCGGTCAGGTCGGGCCAACAATGCGGTATAAATTACTCCGGTCCAGTCGTTTGATGTAGTACCACTGCATGTACATGCGTTATACACACGTGAATACCCGGTGGATGATGACGTAATGAGTTGGCTTTGTGGTAATTTTGGCTTCTGGGGGCGGCGGTGGGGGGAGGGGAGAGGGGGCGAACAGAGGTGCTCTATTCCCTTTAATTCCCTCATAATCACCAATTATCGCTGGTGCCGAGTGTCTTCCGCTACAATGGGAATTATCATTTTATCGAAATTATTTAGTTTCGGTATCAGACTGTTGGAGGAACATTGAAATTTCACGAGGAGTCGAGGAGGAGTTGAGGAGTCGGTTTCGGGGGAGTGATGTTGAATCAGATTTGAACGGAGTAAATGGGGAATTTCGATTTTGGGGAAGAGTTGGGGAGTTTCTTTGATGTTTGAATGGCAATTGAATATTCATTGGCGAATTACGATGAATTTTAACGGTTTCGATTAATTTGCAGGGAATAATTGAAATGACATTTATGGTTTTTGTTTATATTATGGGATTTATCGACGAGCAAATGAGTTGAATATTCATGAGGAAACACTGAATTTCCATGATTAACATGAATTTTCAAGTGAAAATGAATATACACGGGAAAATTCCCTTGAATTTTCACGGAATTTGAAGAATTTTTGGAGGAATTCCCTGAAAATTCAGAGGAATCTAGAATTCAAGGGGAGATTTCTCTGAATTTTCCTGATTTTTCACTAATTTTTCCGGAATAATTGAACTGAAATTTATAATTCCCAAAATTTTTCCAAAGAATTATGAATTTTAAATTACAAAATTCCTTCGAATTTCAGTGGACATGTTACTTATTAGAAATTTCCAAGACTCTTACCGAAATTTTAGTGGAAAACTGTCAACAGTGTATCCATTGTTAATAAAATTTGGTTGAATTTTCAAAAAAAGACCTTGAATTAGATTTAAGGGGAAAAAGTCAAAGGAATTTCAAATTTCTCTGAAAATTCAAATAACAACTCCAGAATTTACATGAATTGTCAAATGACAATTAATATTCACAGCCAAATTCCTTTGAATTTTCCGGGAATTCCTCCAAAGCCTTGAATTCCAGGAATTTTTCAAAAAATTCCCTGAAAATTCTCTTCAATTCTCTGAATTTTCCTGATGTTGCCCAATTTTTCCGGAATAATTGAACTGAAATTTACAGTTCCCACCGATTTTTCCCTGAAATGATGAATTTTCAATGACAAAATCCCTTGAAATTTCAGTAGAAAATTAACTCCCAACAACTTGACAGTGTAAAAAGACGTTGTTCGTTCATTTCAGACTGCTGGAGTGCTCTAGACAACGAAGAATGCCAGTCAAAGAATTCAACCCTCATATTCTTCAATCAGAGTTGCTCAGCGATATCGGATGTATGCCAAAAGTTCAACCATCCGGATGGTGGTAATACCACTCACTGTTACAATGGAACCGAAGTCACGGCAATGCGTTCCCTCTACAAGCAGATCTTATCCTCCGAGGAGTATTACAAGTGAGTACTAATTGTTCCAATTGACGAATACGTTTGAAACGATGATTTTGCGGTGGAAAATGTTAATCAACAGAGGAAATCGCAGAGAAACGAAACATTAAATTTCCCATTTTAGTGAGTAAAGTGTCTAATCGTAAAATCTATCGGACTACAGTGATTACGTACTGGGTATACGAGGTGCAACTTGGGAGAATTGGGGCGGAATGAGATGGGAGCTCTTTGGATGTCTGACACTTGCCTGGATTATTTGCTACTTGTGTCTTATACGAGGCGTCCAATCTGTCGGAAAGATCGTATATTTTACTGCCCTATTTCCGTATTTTGTATTGATTGCACTCTTTATTCGAGGTGAGTAGGTTGTAAATATAAATGAATTTAAGTATTTTCGTTGAATTACATTTGGAGAATTATGTTTTCTGAATACGAGGGACTTTTCACATTCGCTTCGATTTTCTCGGAATTCTGGATTGTTTTCGCCAATGAAGACATTAAGACATGCATTCCTTCATTATGCCCTTTTTTCTGTCAGATTTGATGTTCCTTTTTTCAATTTATTATGTATAATTATTCTCTCAACAATTATAAATAATACATTGAAAAAAGCAATACGACCGATGAGACTCATCTGTCCCAACTTATCAGCCGTTCAATTTTCATATTACAATAAATGATTTGCTCATGTTCTAATTCCTATGCTCACTGAATAAAATTTTAATCATAATTACAACTCAATTCCTTCTAGAACACACTTTAGAGTGTGAATTTCTGAAATTCAATGTTTGTCGATACTCTGGTAAAAGTGTTCACACCCTAATTCAATTAATGCTGTTGTTCATCTCATCAATATAATTCCGTGCTTAGAATAATGTCATCTTGTGTTTTCAGCACCAAATTAAAAATTAAAACTTCATTTGGAATATTGAGTCACAGCTTCCGTTTTTTCATATCAGAAATTTTGTGTTTGGATATTAATATTATTTGTTCAAAGTGAAAAAATCGACCATCATTTTTACTATATTGAATTCAGATTTTCCTATCCTTAACGTCAAAAATGTGAAATAATCTCACAATTCTAGCTATTAATTCTAATCAACTTTGTTCGAAGAAAGCCATAGTAAACGCAGTATTATGGAAGTAGAATTATTTTATTTTCCTCTGACCTAAATGACTTGGACAATTATGATTCGTTTATTTTTCTTTTATCGTTATTTTACATCGCTTCGATCCGGTTAGGGTATACTACAATGATGATCAAGACTTTAAATGGTTATTAAATCGTACCATTCTACTCGGCCGGGATTTGAACTCGGAACCTTTCGCATGCGAGGCAACGAACTTACCCACTGCGCCAAGCCACCGGGATTCGTTTATTCATGTTTCATAGAGTGCTATTCAATTCTCTTTAGTTTGAGCATCTAAAAAAATTCAAAATTCTTGTCTTTATGCCGCTGCAGTAGAATAATTCTCCATTTAACAATTTTCCAGGTTTGAAAAAATAGCTATAAAACAAGAATCGATTCGAATGTGAATCGCCCCTCCGAGCCATATCCTAGATTGAATCAGATCGCCCTGAATCCCCATTAAAATCTAAATAACTCACATAAATTTAAAGGTGTAACGCTCGATGGAGCTGGCGATGGTGCCCTGTGGTTCATCACACCAAACTGGTCTACCCTTCTGAATGCAAACGTTTGGGGCGACGCAGCGTCGCAAATCTTCTATTCCCTGGGTATCGGCTGTGGATCTCTGATCACGTTATCGAGCTTCAGTACGTTCACGAATAATTGTCACAGGTAACGTATAATCCACGTAGAAATCAGTCACCAGTGACGCTATCAATTTCCACCGAATTTCACTCGGAAAATGTACAGTCAATCACAATTTATATTCACAAACTAGTATAAACAGTTGGAGTCCATGTGCCATCAGTTTGTTTATCTCTGGGTCTCAAACAAGAGATCAAACTGTTTGTTATTTTAACTCCAAATTGGTTTATGGTCCATCATGATTTGTGGAGGACAATGTAATGGGGTTCTGTGTGTATATGACTTGGTCCTTTCAACATTGATGAGCCTTGGGTTTCAAATTAGAAAGCGCTTGTATGTTATCAGTCCTTTCAGGCGTTATTGTCCAAACATTATCCAAACATAGTCCAAACACTGGCCAAACATTGTCCAAAGACACCTTCCAAACACATTCATTCACATTTATATTCACAAACAAGTATAAATATTTGGAGTCTATGTGCCATCAGTTTGTTTATCTCTGGGTCTCAAACAAAAGATCAAACCGTTTGTTATTTGAGCTCCAGATTATTTGATGATCCATCATGATTTCTGGAGGTCTGTGTGCATGTGACTTGGTCCTTTCAACATTGATGGGGCTTGGGCTTCAAATGAGGAAATGCTTGTACGTTATCAGTCCTTTCAGGGCCAAAGTTTCCGTCGTACCTCAGAAGCAAATACATTTCAAACCGGTAAACAGGTACGTGACGAGAGGCACAGACGTATTCAGACTAACTTTGATCGTTCTCTCCGGCATTCGTGCATTACCCCCGCGCCGTCTTCGGATCTCTGGAATTCTAACCAACGTAAAATCTACAGCTATCTCACGGCCAGGCTACATCGAGCCCTTTGTGAGGAAGGGATAATTCTCATTTGCACTTGGACCGAAAATTCGGGATCTCTTATTCCGCTCACCTTCAGTTACTTGAAATATTTTCTCGGGGTATTTGAGGGAGACGCTCGCTGATTGCCGGCGAAGGAATTTCGGGAAGTTTCTTTAGGAATCGTTTCGTTAATTTTCGGGAGGAGTAATTTTTTGAGAGTTCAGGGGAATTTTAGGGAATGTTAAAATTGAAATTCTTCTTTTCAACATTTTTGTTCGTTATCAGTGATTAATAAAGGGAAATATGTGAAAAAAATGCAATTGAAATTAGATTTGAGATGAATATTCTCGTCATAAATGTTGTATTTAATTAACTCAATTAATAATCGATTACTGGTCATTAAAAAACTCAAAAGCTGGTGCTACGAAAATTTTCCATTATCTGTTCAATTTTCCTCCGCAGTCAAGACTTTGCTAATTCCTTACGCAATATTCCCCGGAATTTCTTCCAATTTAGGGATTACTTCGTTTAAAATTTCAACGATGCTCGTCCTCCTCGCGAACCAGAATTTTCTCGAGAACTTTATTGCATCTAGCAGCATCGGATAATGTGAATGATCCTGTGTTTTCTCGGAGGCCGATCACTTGTTTCTGTTTTCTCCTCTTGACTACGCCGGAGCCCCTTCCAGGATAATTAAGATGGGCTCCAATGTTGGTGTACATGGACGGTTGTTTGTGTCGTATGATACGTAAACAACCTTCGGGGTATCCGCCTGATGTTCTATGCATAACCAAATATCTTAAGGGCTTCGGAAGCATATCAGATTTGCCGGTAACAAGACGTGGGTACATGAATATTTCAGGGTAAACAGACGTTTGTTCTTCATATTTGGATTTTGAGTACGGGTACAATATTGGCGGCGGAGCTGGCTGAATTTTCGACGTTGCCTGAATTTTTTTCTGCATTTTTTATGGCTGCCGGTATTCGCCCAACGTTCGCCCAACATTCGTCCAATATTGATCTTCTGGCCACTCCTGGCCAAGCCTCGCGTAAGTTTGCCTGAATTTTTGCCGCTAGTTTTTTATTTATAACTGCCAGTAGTCGCCCAACATTCGCCCAACTTGAATATCCTTGCTGCCACTCATTGGCCCAACCTTGACCTAATCCTACGAACTAAGCGTCGCTTAGATTTTTACCCCTAGTTTTTCAATTATGGCAGCCAATACTGACCCGACCTCGACCCAACCTTGGCAGCTCGACATTCCCCACGGAAAAATATATATAATATATATGAAACATCTATAAATTTATATTCTATAATATATAAATCAGGTAAATTCCGTACATAATATATATTTTTACGTATGAAACCACCTGAATTTTTCTCCCTATTTTTCATACCACATACAGAGATTCTTCTATTAATTCAAGAAAAATATTTCCTCTGCATTGATGTGAATTCAAATTTCATGCAGCCATTAACATCGTATTTGCACACGGCAAATGAGACATTACCCAAGAACTTACCCTCTGAATATTGATGATGTTTGAATGCACCACCCAATCCCCTCTCCCCACCGAAACGAGTGAAGGCATCCCTTAATGTCTCAACGTAATCACAAAGTGAAAATACGAATAGATTAACAACAAACAATTTCTAGAAATTCCAAAACTTCCGATGGCACTCATTTATTTATCCCTGATGAAGAGGAATGATGATAAAATACCATTCAACGTCACGGTTAGAGGACCATAATTCAATTTCAAAACTTGGTACAATTTGTTCTACCGAATTTTCGGCTTCTCCAGAGGAGATACTGAAACTGAAGAAATAGGGAGTTTTAAGTAGTTACAGTACTTCGCGCACAGACATTAAGTTCAGTCAATGAATTTCATACATTTTATATTTGAAAGTTTGGAATTTTGATGGATGGGGTTTTTAAACTTTGATAACTCTATTTTTGGGTTGTGCGAGTGGAATGTACTTCAGACGTTCGGGAAACTAGTGCACGTACAGCGTCACATACAGAAAAATGGGCCTTTTGAATTGAACATAAATCTTGATTTGCAATTTTGTTATTTATTTCAAATGAAACGTTGTATTAAATTGAAGATGTTGAAGATAATTAAACTGTCAATACCATTTGACCCATAAGACTCTTATAACCTTTCCTCTTGAAATTGAATGAATCTGCAATATTTCCATCATTTATTCGTTCAATCTTTTTCGAGTTTAATACCATTTTAAAGTGACAATCAATTATTAGTATCAAATAAATATTTATTTAGTTCAAAGAAAAAATTTATTTGATGCAAGTAAAGAAATTTTCTCAATACAAGAAAACGGTTTATTTCGTATAAATAAAGAATTTATTTCCATCAAATGAATATTATTAATTAATAGTAAAACAAAATTATTTAATATAAACAAAATTTCGAGTAAAAATTTCTATTGAATTTGAAAAAAAAATTTTTTTGGTACCATTTAAATAAACGTTATTTGATTCAAAAAGATAATTTTTCAGGGTGCAGGCATGGTAGAGAAGAACAAAACAAAAATAAATACGTATTCGTGAGATTATGAAAATCGCACGAGTCGTGGGTAAAGATAATTAGACTCGCAAGCCCATTTAACCAATTTTTTTCTTGGAATCAAATGAATTTAGAATATATCCATTATTTCCATCAAAACCATTACCAAATTCAAACATCATCAATTCTATTTTACTCCTGTTCTCATATCAACATACGTGTCATACAAATAAATGTTAGAGCTATAAGCAGACAAACATCAATTGCACTTATGTTAATTAATTGGGTAAATACATGGGAGCGAATCGACGAATCAAGAGCGAGATGTTTTGATATGTCGAAAGGTCCTTTGATATCACTCCCCAAATTTACCCGCAATTATAACATTCCGCATCCCCCCCCCCCCGATTTTTAATTTCAACTAATGAATTTCACCAGAATGAAAAACTCGAAAAATTCGCAGATGAATTTGTTCATTTCAACAATTCTGATATTTCTCCCGACATTCTTCCACTTCAGATTCAACGAAAAGGTCATATTCCAGTCTTGTAATGGAAAAAAATTTACTGGTTCAGATAGTTAAAGCATTCCTCTCTCCTCTCGTTGAAATTGTTAAATCGTTTGGTTAAACAAAGATGTCACTATTTGATATTGATCCCAACGAAGCGCTGAGCAATGTGTGGAGTAGTGAATTCCACTGATCACATTGAATCGCTGGGTCAGTGGGAATCTACAATACTTGAATTTTCACACCGGATGGGGATTGGAGGACGGAATTTTCCACTGTTGAGTGCAGCATTTTCACGGGTCTCGTTATAGCAAACGAGCTTTTTCGGGGATCTGACTTGTCAGTATTTCCATTGTTTTCGTCAATCCGGTCATTTCCAGTTTTTTGCTTTCGAATGGAAGAGCTTTGTTATCGCGAAATTTACGTTCCCAATAGAAATTTTTTCTAATTTCATGGAAATTTGAAATTTGAAAAATGATTATTATAGTAAATCTCATGAGAGTGACATGGAATCGGATGTAGGGAAAAAATGGTTATGAAAGTTTAAGTTTTAAATTGAGTTCACGGAAATCCATGAGTTTTCAGTGGAAGTGAGATGGAAATTTCAGAACTTGATTAAATTTTCAGAGGAACATGAATATTCGGAAACAAAAAAACGTGAATTTTCAATTTTCCCTGAATTTTCCTGATTTTTCTGAATTTTCACAGAACAATTGATCTGAAAAATCAAGTATTCTATTGATTTCTAGATGATTTGAACAGAAAATCAACGGAACATTTGATTTTTCAATAACAAGATTTCGTGAAATTTCAGTGGAACTTGAACACGATAAAAATGTCCGGAATTTGGCACGGAAAATTCAGACAAAAATTTTTAACACTGTAAATGTGACAAAATGATTTTTCTAACCGCCAGTATAATTATAAACATTCCTCCTACTCCTCCAGGTCATTGTGCGGTTGTCGGCAATTCTACCCTCCAATTGAATTGAAAAATACAAATCTTCACTACTTGCCAACGTTTCGAGCGGTATATCCACTCCTCATCAGAACAATCTATTCATATTCACCTACAAACAAACCATAAAGAGAGATCCCATTCGGAAGCAAATTACGAATTTATCAGCACCAATAACTATACTCATTTATAAAAAAATGCAATTGTCAACTTGTTTTTCCCCTTAAACAATACGAAGCAATCCAAGTGATGCAAGTCAATATTGCTCCGCCAGTTTCAATTCCCCAGTTGTCCCTTCACCCATCGATCTGAAAACCATATCCTCTCAATGTCCCACCGCTCCCCCAAATGAAGAAGAAGAAATGGCTAAAAGAGGAGAGAATAGGCTTGTACAATGCAAGTTTGAGAATTCTGTTAGTGGGTTGGCACTCGAACGTGAAGTAATTCGAGGAGCCGCGAACAAAAGATCCGGTGGATCCCGCGTAATCTTGCAACCTCGGGGGTTTTTGGGAGAGCTGAAGGGGCTGAAGGGGCATCGGGAAGGGGTGAACCTTGCCGAGGGATTTCAGGGTGAGACGGGCTCACGGAATCCTCAGCCGAATACCCTAGACGGAATAAACCACGATCCATATCTCGTTTTTATCCTTTCTCCCGCCTCTTCCTCGCCCCCATACCATTCATTTCTCCTTACTCTCGACATTCTTTTCTCCTCTCAATATGTTTTTTTTCTGGTCCCTTTAGCCTGTATTATTTCTCTCCATTCTTCCCTTTTTTTTTGTCACAGGGATGCGATATTCGTCTCGCTCACCAATCTATTCACATCGATATTCGCGGGATTCGTCATATTCACGATCATGGGATACTTGGCGAAGCAGATGAATATGCCGATCGAGGAGGTTGTAAAGAGTGGACCTGGACTCGCTTTCGTTGCTTATCCGGAGGCTGTTGTCAGAATGCCGTGGCCGAATCTCTGGGCTTTCTTGTTCTTCTTCATGCTGTTTATTCTCGGACTGGGAAGCCAGGTAAATATCGTTCTTTTATGTGTAAATATCCCGGGTTATCGATGCTGTATGGGTTGTTATCTCAGAAATATACGCTGTAATGGAAATTCAAACGGATCTGCTGCGAAATAGTGGTCACTAAAAGGGGTAGAATGCTCATCGAAAGCATTATACCTTCAATGCTCCGTTATCGATCGAAATATCTCGATAACTATTGACGGGTCATCAACATACAAAGGAGAAGAATGGTAGGGAATTTCATCACGAATAAAATGATTTGTCCATCGCATTTCTCCGGTGTATAGTTCTCGAGAAATCGACGTTTGTTTGAATCCCCGAAAAAGTGAAGCGCAGTAGCTACTTGAAAGAATGCGTGTATCTCGTGAACTATATATCGTAACGAGAAAAATCGGAAATCATTTCATTCGGGGTAAAATTCCCTACATTTTCTACACGGTAGGTTTCGACGGTTTCCCCAGTATTTCTCGTGATATCTCAATCGAAAATGCGGCATTTTTTGCTCAACACAAAGCACGTCCTTTGCCCCATTCTTTCATTCGCGAAAGCAACTGCAACCCTTTAATTCCAAATTAACTCCCCCATTACACCACAATAATTATCCTTTCATCAAATACACCCACCTCCAGCGCATTAAATCCATAATAGAACCCGGGAAATCACCAATGAAACATTAATTACCGTCTGACGCATTACTACCGCGTGAGTATCACTTGCATATTAATTCCAACGTGACGCGCGCATGAAAAAAAAATTATTACTCTATCCCCCGGGACACACCACTCACGTTTTCACTCGACACTTTTTTCCCCACCCTCGCTTTTTCATTTTATTCTATTTCCCTCTCTATCTCGCCCTTATCATTTTATTTCCCCTTTTTTTCCCATTTCTCTCTCCATTCCCTTTTTTTTATTCATTCCGCACTGCCCTCTCGTCTGCTCTGTTTCGTGCGGGACGCTTCGAAAGAGAAGAGGCCGTAGAGTGAGGAAGGGGACCTCGGATTATTGAAACAACGGTGGCGCATGCATTACGCCGGACTGGAGGGTCACGGCAGCAGCTCTGGTCTCCTACCAAAACCACTAACAACAATTATTGCAAAAATCCCTCATGTTACCTGCGCGCACTGCGCGTAAATGCTGTTGAAATAGCTGATGTTTCAATGAGAACAAGAGAAAAGTTTTACTCAGCTTTCTCTTTCATTCTGGCCAGGTTTGTCTATATTTATTACATCCTGACTTGATGATTATAAAAACAGAGTTATTAATCATGAAGAGTCCATTCCAAATCCTGAGCCCAGAGCTCGTCCATTGAAAGCCTCTCGTCTAAGAAAGACAGCGAGAGCTCTTCAAAAAACATAATTGCAATGCCCGATCAATCCTCAATGCCCAAATGATCGGCCTCATGATCCCCAATTCACCACTCTAATCATGCCCACCTCCTCAACAATCTAAATACCACCAGTATGTCAATATCCAATCAGAGTTTGTAGGAGCTCAGGTTGAGTCTCGTGTATAATGATTTGAATGAAATCAAAATGCTGTTGAAATAACTGTCGTTTCTCTTCCATTCTCGCCAGGTTTGTCTACATTTATTACATCCTGACTTGATGATTATAAAAACAGAGTTATTAATCATGAACAGTCCCTTCCAAATCCTGTGCCCAGAACTCGTGTATTGAAAGCCTCTCGTCTAAGAAAGACAGCAACACCTCTCCAAAAAACATAATTGCAATGTTCCATCAATCCTCAATGCCCAAATGATCAGCCTCATGATCCCCAATTCACCACTCTAATCATCTCCACCTCCTCAACAATTTAAATACCACCAGTATGTCAATATCCAATCAGAGTTTGTAGGAGCTCAGGTTGAGTTTCGTGTATAATGATTTAAATGAAATCAAAATGCTGTTGAGATAACTGTCGTTTCTCTTCCATTCTCGCCAGGTTTGTCTACATTTATTACATCCTGACTTGATGATTATAAAAACAGAGTTATTAATCATGAACAGTCCCTTCCAAATCCTGTGCCCAGAACTCGTGTATTGAAAGCCTCTCGTCTAAGAAAGACAGCAACACCTCTCCAAAAAACATAATTGCAATGTTCCATCAATCCTCAATGCCCAAATGATCAGCCTCATGATCCCCAATTCACCACTCTAATCATCTCCACCTCCTCAACAATTTAAATACCACCAGTATGTCAATATCCAATCAGAGTTTGTAGGAGCTCAGGTTGAGTCTCGTGTATAATGATTTGAATGAAATCAAAATGCTGTTGAAATAACTGTCGTTTCTCTTCCATTCTCGCCAGGTTTGTCTACATTTATTACATCCTGACTTGATGATTATAAAAACAGAGTTATTAATCATGAACAGTCCCTTCCAAATCCTGTGCCCAGAACTCGTGCATTGAAAGCCTCTCGTCTAAGAAAGACAGCGAGAGCTCTCCAAAAAACATAATTGCAATGTTCCATTAATCCTCAATGCCCAAATGATCAGCCTCATGATCCCCAATTCACCACTCTAATCATCTCCACCTCCTCAACAATCTAAATACCACCAGTATGTCAATATCCAATCACAGTTTGCAGGAGTTCAGGCGATAAACACAGCTGTACTGGACGTACGTCCGAATCTCCGGAAACACGAGAGCCTAGTGATCCTGTTTATATGCATCTGTGGATGGCTTTTAGCACTGCCAATGATCTTTGATGGTGGTATATACATGTACACACTGATGGACTGGAATACGGCATCTTGGGCGATACTACTGATTGGATTTGCCGAAGTCATAGTGCCAGCTTGGATATACGGTTGTGATAAATTTCTCGGCAATGTCGCGGAAATGAAAATGACGTTTGGCAAAATTATGTACAAGTACTGGTGGCTCAGCTGGACAGTGCTTGCACCAATTACAACGGTGGTAAGTAAATTCAGGCGAAAACATTGTACTCATGAATTTCACCAATCAGCCGTGAAACACACACCATTGGCTTCATCGTAAACGTGTATGTCTCATTTCCATCTACTCACCTACGGAGGTTTACTAGTCATCCCCGAACTACTGCTCTTGGTTTATATTGCAGATACACTGGGTTTACTCGTCTCCTGTTTGCATTTGCACCGGTGACAATGTACCAAATTTACACGTTATCCCCTTTGTCAATGGGGGGTAAATCGGAGTGTAGTAGTCAATTGGTCGGGTCTTGATACTGGGGGGGGGGGGGGGGGGAATTGGGGGTTGTCATTGAGGGAATGGAGAGTTCATTATGGGAAGAGAAATAATTGATGAGGGCGAGATTACAGGGCAGGAAGAGATTTTATCTCATTTTAATGCCGAATATATCAAGGTGAATGTCACCCAGAACAAGTAGAGTTGCATTTTTTTTATGAATGAGTGTATTGTTGCTAATAAATTAGCAATTTGCTTCCGAATAGCTTCTTTTTCAAAAATTCTTATTTCAGTATTCTTTTCTTCTATTTTTTCATGTCATAGCACTATCATCAATTGAAATGTTATCGAAATTTGGCATTTTATTCAGTTCTGTCGCATGATTCCACATTCAGATCGTCTCGAGACGCAAATTCGTTTTCCGTCCGGGTTTAATCAAGGTTCAATCAAGGTTTAACCAGTGTATAGCCGGGTTTTAGTCAGGGTTTATTCAGGATTTAGCCAGAGTATAACCCAGGTCCTGTCAGAAGTTAGTCGGGACCATGAATCAATATGAATAAGTATTCAACATAATAGAGACTGGTATCTGAGAGATAAAGATTTTGATATAAAAAGCTCATGACGGTATTGTGTAACTTGATGAGCGATGATGCTGTTCTCACCATTTTTCAACTTGATTAAGAAGACATTGAAATATACTTTTCAAGCCCTGATTTAATTGCTATTACTAATGATTCTTTCAGTAATCATGAGAAAACCGATTTTCTCTTTTAAATCGCATGAACAATGTGCTATAACCCAACAGCGAATTGTGCGACCCCCATCATATTCTGATAGAATTAAGAATGTATTGTTATCAATTTTTTTAGCCTCGACTAATTCCATTTTGATGACAAATTTTTGAGTGATCGTTGAAAAATCGATTTTTGGAAAATATCAATTTTTTCGAATCTATATGAAAAATTGAATTTCAATTGGCGTCAATGAGTAGAGGAAATTCGATTGATTCCTTATAAAAAAATTGCAAAAAAAAATGAAGAAACACAACTTGAAAGAAGACTAAGGAAATAATTTCAAAAGTGCAATTTTTGAAAATTACAAGCATTTTCTATAAATAATTTATGAACAATCAATTTGCCACTGTAAATATCATTTGTTTGGAATCAGAACAAATTTATTCATATTCTGAATTTTATCAAAAATTGATTTCATGCCTAAAAAAATTATAATTTTGGGCAAAAAGTAATTTGAATAACGCTGAATATTCATGATTCCTTTCAAATTTTTTTCACGTAATTCAATTGACAGATTTGATGATGGAAGATGCTTGAATCTCTACACTGGTCTCTACCAAACTGTGAAAGACAGTCGTGGATATCTTTAAGACTTTCAAAAGCCTGAATTTCAGTTCACAAGTCTCAAAATGAAACTTATTTTTTTTGTCGCTCAGTGAATACATCTCTGAAAACTTTAGACCCCCGATTCGCCCGCCAGACATCAAAAATAGCGCCTGCACTTTCGCCTTTCACCCAACTCACGTCAGCATAAAACTCAAAACCCCGAAAACACCGTCATTACTTTCATTAAATCGTTCTCATTGCGTCGCACCGCGCCACAAATGCCCACCATGTATATATTTTTCGCCTTAAAAACAAGCATTAAAACGTAAAAAAGTAAAAAATTGAACGGCCACACACACCAGCTGCTTTATGATACAGCCAAGCACTGGTGAACATCGCGCTCGTACTCGTTAACGAGGGATTAAAGTACACCCGGGGATTTTGGTAGAGCCTTACCATATTGAAAGACTTCGTTTCGTCTCTCCGTCATTTGTGCGATATTTATTCCTCTCGTTACTCCATCGTTCCATTTCATTCTTTTCCGGCTATTTTCTCCGGTTGAATACCTTTTTTTCCACGGATTTTTCCATTCATATTAGATGAAACCAGTGGGGGGGATTGCACAGTGGATTATATCGAAAGGATAAAAAATTTGTTTCTTATTTTTCACCATTCGCTTTGATGTTTTTTTAATTGACATGCGCTCCAGTAAGTAGTTCAATTCGCGTGGACTAGGGGATTAATAATTCTTTCCATTTGACCTTTTTTTTCATCTGGTTATCAGTGGATGAGTAACTGGAGAGCAATTGAGGTGCATTGTCGAATGGAAAAACTCATTAAGGTATTTGCGGCGTGATCAGAGGAACATATTGAATCGTACTAATATATTTCATCCGTATAAATTTCATTTATGGATATCCAAGTACTTTGGCTATTTTTTCTCATGTGAAATGCTTTTATACTTGCGTAGCTGAACATCAGAGCTATCGTTTGAGCACCATTTGACCTTAAATTTTCGGCCATTTAGCAATGAGTTTATTATTTAAACTTTGCAGGTTTGAATTTGAATCTCGATATCGATTCGTTAGAAAAAATTTTTAAAATCTGAAACAAATTAAATGGTTTACAATTGCAATTTTTTGAAACTAGGAGCGTTTTTTAAAAATAATTTATGAACATCAATATCAATTTTCTATCGTAACAAATTTATTCACATGCGAATTGAATTATCTTGACTCATCCAACCACTAGTAATCTAAAAAATATTGAAATCAAATTAGTTTGGTGCTGTGAAATACTCAAGTGAATTTATATGGCGTTAATGATGTTACTCTTGCAAATAATCAGAATCAATCTTAAAATCAAGCTATATCTATTGATAAATAATACAACCAAACAAATTAAAAATATTTTTATAAATTTCAACCAACTTTAATATTTATATCGAATTCCAATATCGCCTTAAAAAATCGAATCAATGAATCAATTAGATAAAACTGCTGTCATTTAATTTTTAGAATATTTAATCCAATGAATCAATTAACAAGAAGGAGAAGATTTAGATAAGAAATTGAAAGGGAGCGATCCAATGTAATAAACATTCAAAAATCTGTCAATTGCAAAATTCTTTGAAGCACGCATTAAACATCCAAGTGAATTAAATCCATTCAACATCGTATTATTAATTTTAAAACAGCGATAAATCAAATTTTAGAATAGCCAATTCTATATAAAAACCAGAAACCAAACCAAAAAAATTTTCCTTCATCTCATAATAGTCTCAAATAATTTAAGAAACTGATTTTTTTAAACGATTTTGAATCCTTTCAGGGCGTCTTCACCTACCAGATGATCACCTACCTTCCACCGACGTACGGTGACTACGCTTTCCCATCATCGGCGAATGTCATCGGTATTCTGATCGGTCTGGCGACACTGGCACCTCTGCCGTTATTCTTCCTTCATAGTCTATGGAAAGGACCGGTGAGTTTTGATTAAAAGCGCGTTGGCATGGGTGGTACCTATGGCTATCAACACTGACAGCGGATCAATGTGCGAGACTTGCTGATAAATTGGGCCGGGGGGGGGGGGGGAGAAGGGAAGTTGAAGTGGATTGAGGGATTTGGCTCTGTGTGAGAACGGCAAGAAAACCGGTCAATTTTCGCAAAAGCTAAATTACGTCAAAGTTAACTCGGGTTGTTCATACACACCGTCCGCCATTGTCCTGGCTTTCACCTCTCGTACGTACCAATAATACGAGTGTCAACTTGATTTATGACGCTGAGTATTTTTTCGACGTTCAAGGAGAGTGAGGATATATTGAGCGGCAAGCTCTCGGAATATTGTGTTGTCGTTTGCTTCATTAAAGAGAAAAATTGGTTTTCAGTTTCAATATTATGACACTCGTTTGCAAACAATCGATCAATTTGTTGGATATGTTTAAGAGACGATCAAAGAGATGAGGGTCAAATTTGATTTGAGCCAAGTGGGCAGTTGTATTTTTTATGAATAAGTTTAGTTATTGTTGCTAATAAATTAGCAATTTGCCTCCGAATGGGTTCTCTTTTTTAAATTCTTATCTCACTATGCTCCTCTTCTATTTTTTTATGTCATAGTACTATCATCAATTGAAACGTCATCAAAATTTTGGATATCATTTCTTTCTGTCGAATAATTCAGAACCTCTCAAGACTCGAATTCGTTTTCAGTGCGGGTCTAATCAAGGTTTAATCAGTGTATAGCCGGGATTCAGTCAGGGTTTATTCAGGATTTAGCCAAAGTTTAACCCAGGTTCTGTCAGAATTTAGTCGGAACCATGAATCAATATGAATAAGTATTCAACATAATAGAGACTGGTATTTGAGAGAGAGATTTTGATATAAAAAGCTCATAACCGTATTGTGTAACTTGATAAGCAATGAGGGTGTTCTCACCATTTTTCAACTTGATTAAGAAGGCATTGAAATCAGTAGCGAAGCGGTAAACCGGGTTAAGTCGTTTTTTACTATTGGCTAGTTTTTGACGAATATCTCGGAATCTAAAAGAGATAGAAAGATTTTTGTCATGACCTTTTTTGTAGAGCTAATAAAGCGTTATAAAAAAAGTCATGAGAAAAATTTTGCTATCTCTCTTAGATTCCGAGATATTCAGCAAAAACTGGCTAATAGTCAAAATCGACTTAACTCGGTTTACCGCTTCACTACTGAAATATACTTTTCAAGCCCTGATTTAACTGCTATTACTGATAATTCTTTCAGTAATCATGAGAAAACCGATTTTCTGTTTCAAATCGCATAACAATCGTGCTGTAATTCAACAACGAATTGTGCGACCCCCATCATATTCTGATAGAATCAAGAGGGTATTGTTATCAATTTTTTGAGCCATAACTAATTTTATTTTGATGACAATTTTTTGAGTGATCGTTGAAAAATCGATTTTTGGAAAAACATCAATTTTTTCGAATCTGTTTGAAAAATTAAATTTTAATTTGTGTCAATGAATAGAGGTGATTCCAAGCCAAAAAAATAAAACTTAAATTTGAGCGATTATAAAGCTTCCATTCGGAATAAAAAATCATCTCATTCTTTCCGATTTATTTGTTCTCAGCGTGACTGCAGTTTATTTCGTCCATCGAAGAGCTGGGGACCATCGTCGAAAACCGACTGGTGAAATTCAAGTGGAAACTGCCCCTTGCAGTCCGCCACCGCGTTACCTCCTATTTTTCCCTCTTTTATTCACTTCAAACGATCCTTTAGTCTCTCTGCTCGAATAAAAAAATCCCGTGTGCACTTGAACCACAAGCGAGACACCGATACGTCTTTGGTAATAAAGAGTCTCTGTTTTTGGTTTTTTCCTCTCTTCGTTTTTCTCTCTTCACCTGGGAGGATCACGCGGTCGAGAGAGTGGACTCGTTACTTTACGAGAGTATAGATAACCGGGACATGTCCTTTATTTTTTATTTTGTGTTTCCTTTGAAACTTGGCCAGCCGTAAGTGCCCACGTTGTACCAATTTAGCCTTTTAATTGCAAAAGGCGGGCCACTTGTTTTTTAAGGGCTTCGGGATTGTAATTAAGAGGACGGAGGAGATTTATTTAAGAATTTTTGTATTTATTGTGTGCAAGTATTTGTCTATTGTTTTGAATAAATAATATTTTCACTAGAGTTCGATTGTTTCATTGTTTTGGTTTTTATTCTATTTTTTGGGAATTATTTCAGCATATTTTTGTCGGAGTTTTTGAGATTGAGAAAAATTATCTTGGTTTAAGATATTAAGATTATCTTGAAATAAAAATGTCTTAATTTGATATCACTTTTTAATTAAAAAAAATGGGAAAAAATTGAAATAAAATAACAAAAATTTACGACAAAAATATTGATCACAATGTCACATAAAATTCTAACCCTCATCACTATTCCATTTCCTGTCAACTCATTGAAACTAGGTTAACTCTCACCAAAAGCATATGCCCCCCTCTGGGTTATGGTCGGTGGTAAAAAAAAGTCCTTGCCGTTTCTACAAAATTCCGCCCCAATACTCGATCCCCCCCATTCCCCCACAATCAATGTCACACGAGATATCTTTGTACACGAATTATTCCCGCCCTCATGCATTTTCATGAGTCTCCGTTATAGTTGAAAAAAAAAATGGATAATAAAACGATATTTTTTTCTTTCCACAATATAAAAAACATAAAATGCCCATAACGCATGCACTTGCCCCGCTGTACCATCCTCAACGTGAAAAAAACATCCACAAAAAGCCACACAATGTCTGACCAACCCCGTAGTTTCACTACTTTCACCCAGTAAAACAGGTACCCGCTGAGTCAGACCCCCGCCCCTCGCGAGGCAATTTATTTTTTAATACTCTCGGTTCTTACCCATTCCCACGGCACCCGCCCGGCCGTTAATCAAACAAAATCGCGATGAAGGATAAAAACAATAACTACAGATGCTCCGTCGATTCTCACTCGACTTCCTCAAATATTTTATGATTTCGGAAATAATTAGACTCGCTTTCTCCCCCGACCCGTTATATATCTCCAGTAACTAGTTATCTTCCACCTCCACAATTCACCATTCTGTATTACCCTCACCGCCCTCCGCTGTTGGATTATATCTCTCAAAGGCCAGTGAAGAAAACTCATTTTCAACGATTTATTACAGTCACGTGGGTTCAATTAGTCGACAGGGTAACGAGCTTTGGCATCTCTTATGCATTCACTTCCACTTTTACCCACTCATCCCTTATATTTTCTGTTCTACAACCGATGGATCGCGGCCATTGTCTCAACAGGTCAACGTCTTGACAGATGGGCATTGGTGTAAACTTCATGTCAAGATTTTTCTCCAGATGTGGAATTTCATGTGTTCCGTGTTTATTCTTTTTTTCTTCTTTTGTTATGATTTTGAAAAGAATTTTTGGATGAAAAAAGAAGGAGAAACGGTTGATAATCTATTTTTGTCTTTTTGGGATCTTTTTGGTATCTCAATTTAATTTTTTTTTGTGGAAATTTTCATTTTTTTGTGAGAAACTTTTTTTGTAACAACATAGTCAATATATTTTTTCTAATAAATTAGGAGTTTGTTTCCGAATGAAATTTTTATGACGATGTATTCTAATTTTAATTCAACATTGTCGCAATGCTGGCAGCCAACGTTGCCCCAACGTTGGTAACCAACATTGATTCAACGATGACTGTCAACATCGCCTCAATGATGACAACCAACATTGCCCTAACATTGTTAATCAACATGACCCCAATGTTGGCAACCAACGTTGCCTCAATGTTGGCAGCCGACATAGCCTCAATGCTGGCAGCCAACATTACTCCGTCGGAAGCCAACATAGTTCCAACGTTGATAACCACCATTGCCCCAACATTGGTAGCCAAAATTGTCTCAATGCTGGCACCCAACATCTCCCCAAAGTTGGCAGCCAACATTGTCCCAACCTTAACAATTTTGACCTTTCCCTAAACATTGGTTTCAAAAAAAATTTTGTCAACAACAGATGATGCAATCAATCTCATGCTCGAACTCTGTCAAGATGGCATTGTGAATACTATTTTGAATCGCAATTGGATTCATTAAAACAATTATTTTTCCACTTATCATCGAAAAACGGTCGCATACACATACGCACTCATACATGCATACATACACCAGGGCAATAAAAATATTATATGCCTGAGGCCAAAATTAGTTATCCCGGCACAAAAAAATTCCAAATTTCGTATTAAACGAATACAAAGCTTCCACTCGCAAGCAAAAAACAACACTTCCCTTCAACATTAAGAAACTAATTACCCCCCGAAATCCATCGACAAAGCGTTCTAACATCCGGTATATCCCCCCCCCC